ATCTGAGTGGACTGAGGACACACGGAGCCGGAGGAATCAGCGCAAGTGTCTTTTCTATTGGCGTCATGCTCTAATTGGTTCAGCCAGAGATAGTGGGGTGACTAAGCTCATTACAGTGTAGTTAAATCACACAACCGCCTCAATATGTTATTGGTGGGATACGGCTCCATGACCGAAACAGACACCTTAGGGAGCTGGGAAGAAGGCCAGGGTGACGTAACCATTCAGCTAACTTGAGAGGAGGTTATCTGAGCTGTGAAAAGAGAGGTTTTATGGATTTATGTGTGATGTCTTACATCAGGGTTGTTGAGGATGGCCACACATTCGTCCAGGCCTCTGGGTGTCAGGGGGATGCTCAGCTGATTGGTCTTGGGCCTGAGATCTTCCTCTTCCCCCCCCACGACAAAGAAGCTTTTTTGCTGGGGATCAGCGGGTGGGGCAGACAGGGGCCGGATAACCTCATCTAGGGGAACAAAGTGGAGTTGGATACCATGGTGCTAAACAAGTCCATTTGCTACAGCACATCCCCGAGCACGCACTCACCTCTCTCTTCCATGTTGGTGGGGGCCGGGGCAGCCACGGTCTGAGTGGGGGCGAGGGGTCGGGGAGTGTACGGCTCCTTCCTACAGCAGGTCTCAACGGGGCGTCGCGGGGTCAGGGCGGGGGCGGACATAGTCATGGGGTTCTTGAGTGACAGTGTAGACTCCATCTCAACCTGCTCAAAGAAGATGTACTTGATAGCCAGCAGCAGGGCCAAGGCCAGACAGATCACCTGCTCTATGTCCATGGTTATCATCCTGTAGGGGAAGAGGGACGGTAACAAGCAGAACAAGTTTTTATTATTGATTACACACAAGTTGACAATCATTTAAATGTTCTCTGTGCTGAGATATCAAATGGGGTGCTGAATTGCAGAAATAACAAGATAATTAAATCACTATCTTGGGATAAAGGTCATTTGGTACCATTTTGTAAGGATATTTGAATTGCAACTAATTATTTGCTTTATAAATGTTAACACAACTTCACCTGCCTCCGAGGTGCGTGGAAAAGGAAAAGAGTTTGAAACTCCAACAACACGTATTAAGTAACTTTGCTGTCATCAACAGATGATGCCCCTGAACTTGTTGATATGTCAATACAAATGCTTCTCAAGTTCTGACATCTACGTACCTACTTATCCTGACATACATGAGCTTAACTGCATCTTGTGGATGCGTTGCATTCATTTTCAGGGTTCCCACTCTTTTTAACAAATCGTTTCCAGGACCTTTCCACAACACTTTCCAGGAGTATTTCTCAATCATAAAGGACAGCACTTGCTCACAAACTATCATTAAAGCTGCAGTTACTACAATAAGTCACAGCCGATGAGTAACAGTTCAATCAAATACACAGCACAGAAAATTCATCTTTCCAGGTGTTTCCATGACTGGAAAAATTAGTCACTAAATTCCCTGGGTTTTCCAGGACGCATGGGAGCCCTGATGTTCTACAACTAACGCAGGAAATCCAGGGTAGCCACTGCGAATGTGTAGTTAAAGGCAAGCACTTCACCAGCCTCACCTGGTGAGGTAGAAGTGCCAGAGTGGTTTCTCTGGCTCGATCCTCCTGGGTGAGAGGTGGTCCAGCTCCATGCCGACCTGTGGGATGCCCACTGTGGTGTTGATGGACAAGGGCTCGGCGATCCAGCGGCTGTGGGCGTGAACCATCACCAGGCCCAGAGACTGCACGCAAAGCAGAGAGGAGAGATCAAACTCCCATTCAAACGAAAGCAAAGAAACAAATGAAAAAAGATTTACCATGATCATTTTGACTCTCTGGGTTACAGGGTTGGGTTTGTTGTCCTCCTCCTCCTCCATCACTCTGGAGAAGTGGCTCAGCTGCCAGATAGGATGGCCCTCCTGACTCTCGCGGGACAACTAGAGGAGCAAACACAACCCAATCAGTCAATGTGACGTTAACACACACGTGTACACACATACAATGAATGAAACGCTGCACCCTTACCTCCAGCACCAGTGACACACAGGCGGGGAAGAAAGTCATGAACACAAAGTAGTTGGCCAGGACAGACATGCAACCAAAGCAGCACATGATTTCCAACTGCCGCACGCCTGAAACATACGAGACAGATACTCAGGCATTCACAAGAACAACTCCCATGAGAGGTGGCCACTACATTACCAAAAATACCAAATCAGAAAACCACAATTCATTGACTGATTTCAGAATGCGAGCGAGAAACCTCACTCAAAGAACAACAGATATACATTTGCAGTAAAGGAATAACTCCAAATGAAAGCAAGTACCTGACATGGTTCCCACTCCGATCACTAAGCACTCCACCAGGGCGTCCAAAGTGAAAGTAGGTCCAAGTACTGCCATGCCGCGAGCAATGTTGTCCCTCACTTCATCCTGAAGGAGTTGCAGTACAACATACCAGTCAGGGCTACTGCTGAGTCTCATTCGTTGCAATAAGACGAGTGAATATTTCTTCCTACCTGAGAACTGGAGCTTAGAGCGAACTTGGCGAGAGCGCACGCTTTGGAGAGGTCGATGAGGAGCAGGAAGAAGGGCAAAGCCTCACTGGAGGGTCAGAACAGAACAATCAACTGGAGCTTTTAACAAGAGACACTGATGAGACAGGGCAGTGTGCAGAGTGTGTCCTTACTTGAGGCCTGTGAGCTCTTTATCGAGAAAGTGAATGACCACTGTGCTGAATACGAAGCTGGAGAATATGGTGAAAAGGCCAGCGATGCCTGCAAGAGAGTAGATGAGGTGTGTTTTAGCTTTCTATAGCTAGCTAGGTGAAAAGATCTACTTCTTCTACAACCCACAGCGTCTTAGAAACATGAATATTTCACCTAAAATATATTTGGATCCCAGCTGTCTCAGGTTCTGGAACTGGAAGTAAATGTAGACGATGGCGATGCAACGTGTGATGGTCAGGATGATGATATCGCTGCTCAGAATTTGCTGTAAAAAGAGAAAAAAATCTGATCAGCAGCAAGGTCGTTTAAATTTAAAAACCACTCCCATGTCTGTACGATAAATATAAGGCTACTGGTTAGCTTAGTTTAGCACAAAGACAGCTATCCTGGGGTATTTAATCGTGTTCATTTCTAAAGTTTTCCTGCTGGACACAAGATGTCTCCTCCTTCACTGTAAAGTCCATTCCAGGTGATGTGCACTGGTGAGTTCAGGTTTCTCCATCACACTGTACATAGTTGATACTGGACCGGACTGACTTCCTGTTGATTCATAAATGCCTACTGACTGGTAGGCCCCGCCTCTTAAAATACTTGACTTTCCAATGGACCCAGAGGAACTTGTCCACTTTCAGCAATGAATGAAACATCACTTCTAGAGTCCAAACTCTGCACAGACAGAATTCAAACATCACACTGTAGGGACAAGAAGAAACACTGGTTTCTGACTGGAGGGGCTTTAAGTATAATAGCTATGGGTCATGACAATACATATTCATGTTTAATCTGGATCAGTGCACTGTGGTTAGTAAAGGTATCTTAGTTACTATAGTATATAGTATCAGCACTTACTGTAAGTGTGACATATAATCTGAGCTGCAGTGAGCACTATCCTGAGGCTCTTTAAATCTAGGTCGGTGGCCTACTTTACATTGTGTGGTGGATTCACTGCTACAGATAACTGACACATCCTTGACCATCTCATTCACTCACCTCCTCTGTTTTGGGGCAGTCGAAGTTCCAGCCACAGATCTGGTCATTGCCGGTGAACATGTTCATGGACATCATACAGATGGTGAGGGTGACCGTGCCGACGATCACCTCCCAGGGGTGGGAGGCCACCAGGAGGCCGTGCATGCGGAACAGACGGGTCAGCATGGTGCAACGGAGCTGCCGAATAACACAGAGTCGCGTTAGGCTGGGAGGAGCTGACTGTGTGAGTGTTTGTGCTACTTTACACTTCAACTCCGCGAGTCAAGTTCAAGGGAAACATGGCACTTTTCACATCAGCTCACCTATGTGACAGCTGCAGGTACAGATCAAACAGAACAGAGGATCGTCTTGTAAAATGTGTTTAATTGAATGTTTAAACCATCTGATGATGTGTTGCCTGCACATCCTCTAACTACATTACACTGCTACTTCCATATATTAATAATAACAACCATATGGGGAAGATAGTTCTTAAACAGCCTGAAAGTAGGCATTCTGCATCATGAATGCCTACTTTTCCAACTCTGTGCCTTCACATAAATAAAATGATCAATGCAGGAATTTTTTTCATGGTGGTGTTACTACTTTTAGTTAGGAATAGTTCTCTATACAGGTCTCTACAGGTCTCTACAGGTCTCTGAGGTGTTCAGACCAGGCACATTTAGTCCAGGGCTTAAAGAAATAAATTAGTTAAGTTTATTATTCAATATTTAATTCATTATTATGATATTGATATGAATACTATCAGAAAAAAAATGAATTTTAAGAATCCATTAAATCAAGTCAAAAATCAATTAACCCATTGTTGCCCGCAAAATATTTTTTTTTACGTCCTTTGTTGGAACTGTCTGGACTTGCCTTAGCACAAATCTTAAGAAGTTTTTTTTTAATCAGTTTAAAACAGTTTGGCCGAAGTGTGTTTTTCTTCTCCCACTATATTAAATAGGACCTTCAATTAATATTAAATGAATTACTCTTTGAATGCGTCAGCTTAGTAAAAGATTACAAATGAACACATCCCACCTACTGTTTCTCTTTATTTAAATGTTTTGGGGGGGGAAGAGAAACATCAATAATTGGTGCTATTTTTCCATGCTGGTTATTTAAATCATTTCTTTGCGTTAATATATCCTATTCATTGCATTTATTCTATCCAACGTACCAACGGTGCGGCTTTGTTGCGGCTTTGGTCCCCGCTCCGCTCCCGGTCTATTTCTGACGTAGCGACGCGCGTCTGTAAAGATGGATTTAGTCGTCCATGTAGCCGGTTACACGACTATATTTACCCCAAACGGACACAAAATGAATATTTCAGACATACGTCGTGACTTACCTTCGGCGGGGAGGAGAATGGTGGTGAGTGAGAGTGAGTTTTGATGGTGAACAGATTCCAGCCTCCCGGGGTGAAGAGCAGAAAGCCGGTCTCCTCGTCGACGCTCTGCCGCTGACTGAAGACCGATGGAACGATGGCACGCTACTACATCTTCCGACACTTCAGCCAATCAGGTCGGTCACCTGCTTCACGAGCGCTTTATCCACGCCCCGTTTCCTAGGCGACAGCGAGGACGTCTAATCTCACCACTGACACACGGTTGTACAGCAGAGAGTGCAGCCTATAGGGAGTGGGCTGCTGTCTGTGTGCGCTACTGGGCAGGATTTACTCTGTTTAACGCCGTTTAATGTACATTTGTGAGAGTTCAACCGAACAGTTTGTTCTGCTTCCTCCATTTGCTCTTTTAACTGTTCAGTTGCGGCTGTTTGACTCAGTTTCTTGTAATGCTTTACACTTCAGAACCTAAAACTGTATAGATAGATACTTTTAGATCATAAAGTAAAATGAGGTTTGTGGGTGTCTCTAATACAGAGTAGGCTGTATGTTTCTACTCTTGAATGGAAACCTGTTTTCTGAAAACTGAAACCAGGGGCGGATCTAGAGTGGTGGCATTGGGTGCTGTCAAATTGAACAATTTAACTTAGATTAATTTAAAAAAATAACAAGTTAAACAGAACAGAACTTGATTTAATGATCTGTTATGACCACTTTCAGTTCACTTCACTTCACTTTATTCTTTAAAAATGTTAAAAATTAAAAAAATAAAATATAATATGGGGCTATTTGTCAGGTAAATAAGATTAAGTAGTTCAGAATAGGCTTTACAATGCAAACACATTGACTCAAAGTCAACAAAAAGTTTAGTTCATTTTGTAAGTACACAATATTGTTTCAGTTAGTTTTCTTTTTCCAAAGTGGAGTTTTTATTTGTATTTCAGTTAACAGAAATGTTCTTTTACTTTAGTTAACTACAATACGCTTGGCCTATTAGTTACATTGTCCAATTAATGTCATCTGAAAAAAACAGTGCCATTTGGAACAAACTGCTAGGGGTAGCTAGTGTCCCCCAAGCCCCTTCATGAAGCTGCCTATTCTGATGCACTGCCATATGCCCAATATCAGCTGTAATAGGCCAACCTTTCTGCCTTTAATTGACATTAAAGCTGACTTTGACTTTGACTTTTGAGGTGTGTTCTACACCAGAGAAGGTAACAGCTTTATAATGATATTACTGTTAAACTGTGCAATTGAAGGATGTTTTGCCATCAGAACAAAGGAAACCCTAGTACAATTTTACTGAGATCCCTGTCAACAAAAAAAGTACTGTCTAATACTCAAGTTAATGTGTTTGCTCTGAGGAGGGATACTGTGATCATTTAACCTTAACCTGGATAGATAGGCCTATGTGTGTCTATGCACCCGTGTGACCAATATCCTTTGTACTTAATACTGTGATCTTTTGAAAATTCATGCACAAAATAGAGCTTCTATTTATTCTTTGTAATAACATAAGATTGTGTTTTAGTCTCATTTTCTACTCTCATGCATAATTCTTCCTGATATAACAAAGTCACTTTACTCTGGTATGGGCCCACTAAACCCAGCAAAGAGTCATGGTCAATGTGGTAGTGAAATATCAGAATCAGAATCAGAATTCCTTTATTGTCATTGTCACTGATGTTACAACAAAATTGGTTGGGCAATCTATCCTCTGTGTATTTAAAAAAGATCTAAAAATAAATAAATAAATGACCACGCATACCTCATATCCATGTGTACACTCACACACCCACCCACCCCACGACACTTGAGGTAAAAATCTACACACCAAAATATGACAAGGACACTAACAAGAAGATACTGTTTTCATTGCAGTGTACAGACAGTATTTTCTCCACCAGAATGGTACAGGCTTTTGTTAAAAACTGGACTGAACAGAAACACTGAGGCTCTGTAACTGTAAGAAAAAAAACCCAGTAAAAAAACCGGTCAATGACTGGCAGCTAACGGCTTGCCCAAACATTGACCGGAAAATTAAAGTAAAAACCTTAATTCAACAATGTGTAAAGAAACATTTAAATTACGGAAAATTTCATTCAATGTTTTACAGAAAATACCGTTATTCTTACCAGATTTTTCCCAAATAATTATGATCAATCACCTTCCATAAAGGACTAGATCCTAAACATCTGCAGGAAAAAACCATGTTATTTTAACAGAATTTTTTCCCCAATAATTATGAGCCAATCAACTATCCAACTTCAATAAAGGGACAAATCCCTAAAAATTTGCAGGGAAAATACCGTTATTTTACAGATTTTCCCAAAAATAATTATGATCAATCACCTCAATAAAGGTGACAATCCTAACATTCTGCAGGAAATAACCATTATTTTACAGATTTTTCCAAATAATTATGAATCAATCACCTTTCAATAAGGGTCAATCAATAAAAATTCTGTAGGAAAATACCATTATTTTACAAATATTACGAATCCAGACACCAAAATATGATCTCAAAATTAACTGTGAGAATCCTCAACGAAAACATACTGTAAGCAATACAAAATAGATACATCATTTTATGTTCGAATTAAAATTGTTTTTTTGGGAATTTAACTACAAATAAAGTCAACACCACTATTGATTCAAAACCTTTTATTTAATGTAATTCAGTATTGTAATTTACATTATCAACCAATTTATTCACAAACAGTCTTCTAGAGCCCCAAGGGGAACTGAAAAAACAAAAAAATGGACTTCTCCATGTGTGTAAAATGAGTCAAGATTTCACTTTGGAATGGATGGAGGAAGCAACAAATTGTGCTGTTGGCTGAGGGGAGTTGTGGTCTTCTTCATTCTCAAAAAAACCCTTGAGGGGGCCTCCTGTAATAAGGTAGTCATGATAAACATTGTGGACAAGCATTACAGTCTTTTAATTAGAATCCCTAACTATACAGTGTAATTATTAAGTAAGATAATACCATCAAAAGGTCAATGAATCTGTAACAGAGGTGCAACACAGCAAGAACAAGCCAAAAAAATCTGACCTTCTTCCTCCAAAATTGGCCAGTAATTGCGTCTGGATCTGTGATGCTCCTGGAGGGGAACACACACAACCACACACAGAGAGAAACGTAATTTACTGAAACGTCTTTACTTGTAAAAAGTAGGATTTCACTTTATAGTTCATTTAAATGAACACGCATGGAGTTTCACAGGAAATCAGTGTTTTTAAATGCAAGAAAACAAGTAAGGATCCTCAGGTTCTTAGCTCCTTGCACTTGTGCCGAAGCAAACCTCACCCACAGATCAAACGTGTATGGTCAACGCAGCTCCCAGCTAAGTAACGCTACAGTGAAGATTCTTGCTAAACACATGGTGTAAATGACGACTTTTCAGGTCAATTTGGCAATTCGGTACTTTTGACAAGACTTATGATGAGACAAGCAGTATGAAGCCTTTTTATGTTTTTGTAAAGTTGTTTTAACGTTTGAAACAAAGCCGCTTGTTGACTAAACAGTTGTTTGGGAGGATGCTGCAAGTTGTTTTCATGTAAACCAGGGGCCCTATCTTAAAGATATTAGTAATATGGCCACTAGTATCACATTATCCATTCACCAGTCTTTATGGTCAGGATAACATGAAATACTGCACTGGCTCCGAAGATCTTGGGCAGGAGACTTTTCATTTCCCAAAATGTCTGGATCATGAGGGAAAACACACAGACAAACAAACAATATTAGCCAGTTTATGTTGGAGACATAAGGGCATGCAAAATATTGACTCAACAGCCTCCACACATACATTCATTCCTTACATAAAGATTTCTTATTATGACTGATGTGAACCTGGTTTCATTCTCCTGTAATGTTTTGCCCCTGCTGGCCTACCTGTCCCTGGGTTTAATGCTGATATCTTGTCACTCTGGTTTCTTCAGCCCTTCTCATGATCACACAGGTGATGCAACACCTATGGTGCCTTTGCTGTGTGGAAAGTAAAGATGGACAAGTAAGAAATGGTAAATGGATTGTTCTTGCATATATAGTGGCTTTTCTGTATTATCAACCACTCAAAGCACTCTACAATACATATCTAGTCATTCACCCATTCACACACTGATGGCAGGCTCTACCCATGAGGTAACTCATGAGGGAGCCCTTATTATTTACACTCTCAACCTAGATAGAGGAACAGCAGAATGAGAGTAGGGGGTAGCCTATGATAAGCATTCCAGTCTCTCAGACTGATCAGGATTGTAATTGGCAAAATATTAATGATTCATATAATACCCTCTAAACATTTCATCTATTGCTTCCTTAAAATGTTTTTGTAGTTAAGGCCATATATATTTTTAACTTTCTTTCCCACTGGCAGTCATCCACCTTGACTTGATAGCAATCTCTCTGGAATTATAAATGATGTTACTTGGGGGACCTTGACACTGTCACAATAACTCGGCCCAGGCTCACGCAGGGAAGGCACCTGCTGGTCGTGGGGGGCCATGGGGGAACCTCCGAAACATGAAATAGTAAAACAGCATAGATGGTCCAATATATGGTGGCACATACATTAAGGTCATACCCAGAGTCAGAGGGGCCTTGACACTAGAGACTTGCACCTGCATCTGACCTGCAATGTAACTAGTAACCAATATCATCTAAAAATGACTCTTTTGGAATCAAATCAATGTATTGTTGTGTGTTGCATGTGCATGGTGTGTGTGTGCCATGTGGCATGTGTGGTGTGTGTCTGTGATGTGTGCACAAAGGGACAAAAGAAAGAGATGCAGACTCTGGATCTCCAAAAAAGGACTCAAACGGTGACAAACTCCAGCAAATGTGGGAAGCACATTAGTCCCACACACAAAGTTTCCCTACTACTGCACTGAATGCAGTGACTATTTTTGCAATAAATTAAGGATTAATAATGAAGTATTAATGTAAGATATGCTATTACAATATTCTAAATAGGAAGTCTGTAGTTCAAATTATGGTATAGAACACTTTTTTATGTCCAGATTTGACTCCGGTTCTACTGTGAAGGCATTCTGGATTTAAGAACAAGGGTGTTAATAGGAATAGTCCACATCTGACCATCGTTAGGGAGGGATAGGCAGGGGACAGACACAGAACGGTTCTATGTTACTTCTAATGAGCATTACAATTACAAGTTAGACCAGTCATCTCTTCCTCGTCTCACACACACACACACTCACATTGTGACAGAAGTTAGGCTTGCATTATAACTTTTAAATTAATATTTTCAGAAGGCAGTAAGGCAGTAACTGGCCCACACGTTATTACACAGCAATGTACATTAAGGTTTAAAACAACATAACGTAAGTTACACTTTATTAGCTGAGGCTGTAGTTAGGTTGACTCCCAGCAACAAGTGTTGTAACGCTTAGTAAAATCAAACATTAGATGGTATGATAAACTTAAAACACCAACCCCCCAAATAGTTA